ATACCATACTGTGATCATAGTTTTTATGTCACTTTTCAGAATAAATATACGTAACTATGTTTCGCCCGCGACTCAGTTCGAGTGAAGTTTAAAAAAAATAAAAAGCAAGTAGCCTATGCTTTTTTCCAGATTATGCTTTACATATAAGTAATATTATTATCATTTGCAGTAAAAATATGATACTTATTAAACTATAGTTTATCAACATTTGCTTATTTCAACAATTCATCAAAGAAATTCCTCAAAGTCTTGATATTGTAAGGAGTCGAATATCAACGTAAGCGAAACATGGGCCAGTGATAACAGGTTTAAACTTTCAAACGACTGTCGGATGCTGGGAGCTTGTAGGCGACAAATCGTGACGTTGTCTCGCGCCGGCTTCAAATAACGTCTCAAGCGAAGGAACATCCATCATGAGTGGAGCGGCGTGACGGGCCGCGGAAAAACGAGCTCGAAGTGTCAACCAGTTGACTGAAAGCATGACCATTCATTATAGCTTTGCAAATAAAGGCGAAACGCTTAAAGGCAAATCTTGAAATGCAATCGCTTAAATTATTTCACGTTTTTATTACATTTATTGAAATTATGAAAGACCCTTGTTGTTTCTGTAGGAAACCCTAGGTCTAAAGCGTTATAGGTTTATAGTATTCGTTAAAATAATTACAAGTACTTTCCTGTTCTGTTTTTTTAGGCTTAAAAAGTTCATTAAATAATAAGACAATTGTTTGCTTCCTAACATTTACAGTCTCATTTAAAGCTACAGAATTTTCTTCATTGTATTATTTTTAAATAACTAAGCTTTGCTGGAATTTATTGTTTAAATTTAGAGTTAGCTAACTAATAATGTTTTGAGACATTTTCATTAGTTTTTAGCAATAAATAATTTTTATTGTAACATATAACTTGCGTAACAGCAGTTCTACATGTTTTAAAATCTTTTAGGTTCTAAAAAGTAAAGTTGCTATAGGTCGGTTGCCTAATGAAAGAATGCCTTTGACTAAATAAACAAGTAAACAAGACCTTCTTTATTTATTTGATGCGTAGTCTATCTACAACAATATTTTACAAGTATCATGACAAAATTATAACATAATCAAACAATCAGCACAATAACAGTCACAGAGTAATACATCGGTAGAGCGCGCTAATGAGCGCCGCCGGAATCCGCAATCTCGCGCCATCTGCCTCTAATCAACGATTGGAGTTAATTAAATCGCGTTGGCAATATGGCGGCAGGCATAATTGCTATTAATAAAGCGCTTTCCTGTATAATTGGATGGCGGCGAGCGCGGATTGGCCGGACCCTAATCACGACGTGATAACACTGCTCTAATGGCGAACGCCGCGCCTATACCATCCAGTACAGCCGCAGAGCCTTTGCTTTCACGTCGTGCTGCTTCCGCTGTTAACGTTACATTAACCTAACCTAACTTTGTGTCACGTTCATTCCTTGAAGTCATTTAAACTTGGAAATCAAATCTCTTTACACATTTGAGCATTTGTTTTGTCCTTGTTATTTGGTATGCTCATGAGTCTTCAAAATATTGGAAGACATTGCTAGATTACAGTTTAGTCAACGAAATATTATGCCTATACGTAGTATTTAAAAAGTAAATAAATTTCGAGTACACTAATTGAGCTGTCATTGTAAGTTACTATGTATTACTACAAATATTTTTTGCTATCCACGAATACTGTTTTAAATCCAACCACGAAAAAGTTTTATTAGACACTTTGTATATGTCAATAACCTTTTTCTTTGTTAGTTTTAAAATGCTTTAGTTAAACGATTTAAATCACCCTTGAAAGTAAATTGCTACAGATTTTGATTAGGATTCACGGTCGGAAGGAATGGCGGCCGTGCGTATGAGCGACTGCGCAACTCCGGACCAATGATTGACGACTTAGCACCTCGGTGCGTCACTAATTAAGCCATGCGTTGCGCGACTTCAGCCATGCTCTGTGCCTGCGCATCGTTATACCACATTAGCAGTGTAAAATTACATTTAGATTGCGAATCTTGCTCGTTTAACACCTTGTTTTTATCAGTCATGTTAATTACATGGCGGGTATTGTACTTTAAAGATTTCATTTTTAATTCAATAAAAAGTAAACGATTTTTTTTGTTAGATTTTTTTTACTTTTAAATTGACGCATTCGATTTAGAATTGAAGGTGTTTTATTAGATACGTTATTATTTATATGAAAATAACAGTTGAATTAAGGTAAAGATATGAAACGATCATGGAGAGCAAAGAATATCTCTGTTGACAATAAGACACAAGCAGTTTGATTTGCTAAAATCTGTCGAGAAACTGCTACAAAGTTTGTATAACGATGTTGCATATGTGTCGAAGAATGAGAGACAAGTTTACAAGCATACATGTCCATTTGATGTGACGCACATAAAAATAAGACGTTTGTGAATAGATTTACGAGTTACATCTAAGCCGGAGTCGTAGACATCGACTTTAACAATGTCATAACAGTAATGAGGGCGGCTGTAAACGATCGCCTCCTTATTTCTGTCTTGGGTATATGCTCATTAAAACTGGGGAACGCGTGTTTCTCGGTCCTTTTGCTCGCACTCGCTTTTCCGCTAACTTTCGGGTGGTGGAATGATGGACGACGTCGGTGGTCATATATCATGGCGGTAATATATATCGCGGCGTGCGTCGAGTGTCGCCATTAACGCATGCGAGCAATCGCCCGCGCAGATCGCGTCTTGGGAATGCTATAAGAAGCGTCTCACAAATCGACGCGTGCGACCACGGCCATACATGCATAAATCTTATTAATGCTATTCTTACTTTTGTCCCTCCCTCCACCAGGGCAATCTTTACACGTTCCCGGCAATCCTTTGTCACTCCAAAGCACTGCTGGCATAACGTCATAAAAATTCTATTGCCGAGGATGCCAATCAATCGTATTGTAAATTATAAAAATCGTATCGTAAATTACCTCAGCATACAAGACCAGTTAAACGATGCGGGTGGTCGAGGAGTTGATTGAATACAATTCAAATGGCGGGTCAAAAGTCGCGGCGGCTAGGAGAGGATTTAACGATTCGATCGCAAATTATCAACTACTTTCCCCGCCTTTGGAAAAGTGAGTGGCCTCGGACAGAGAGCATCAAGCCGAAGAGCGATGTCTCGACTCGCGGTCTCAGATTTGTTGTTTCCGCTCTCGCCGCCTCAATGACTACCATTTTGTGTCGATTAGGAGATTGTATTTCACGCGCCCGCTACCGACACCACTTTTTGTGTCACACCGTTCTGTGCACAACGAGTTTATTATCTTGATATTTTTTTCGTATACACGTTCTGTTTATCGTTACCAATCACACTGAGTATATTTTTACTGAAACATTTTTTTTGCTATCTTATAACCTTACCCTTGTTAACGTAGGGTCGATAGCAGGAAACCGCAGTTACGCCGAGTAGTGTAATAAGAGCCATTACATCGACCAACCGCAAGCAATTTTACTAACAGTAAACAAAAACGTCTGCCATTACAAAAATGTCTACCCATTCATCTTTCTCCAACGGGAGACGTTAAAGAATGTCTCCGTTAAAGAGGGCAAGGGGAGCGATAGCTTAGAGTCACATTCGTATAAAAGCGTTCACAATAACCCATGTATGTACGCAGACGGTGACGATAAATGTTATACGAATTTCGACTTTGTCATACGGCCGTGTTTTATTACTTTTTTATTCTAAATATTTATTATTGCTGACAGTGTGTTGGGAAGGGAAAGATATAAGCAACTGTTTTAAACTGTAGAGACACGGTATATCATTGCTACTAGATATTGCGGTACCTTCTATATTGCGGTAAGATCCACTTTCGTTACTTTATAATTGGTAGGATGATATAAATTAGGGTCTTTATACAGGTACCTAGATGGCGTTGAGTTCGAAATAGATCACGGTATTGATTGAATCAGATTCAGATCAGTGATTATTCGAGTTATTATTATTCGATTATCCTGTCTCATAATAATAGCTCATGTAAGTTATGAAATATTTATTATGTTACATTTATTTACGCTATCAGATTACTCGTGGTTATATTGTTGTGCTAATTGGTAGCGATAATTCGCGATAACCTCTGCTCTAATGAGCGAAAGACGATTGGACCCGCTCTCAGGTAGCGATAATTTCAGCTCAACCAAGTAATTGTCGAATAATTGCGTTAATGTGAAAATTTACGCCTTAACATAACAATGGAGGTAGGAAGTCGACGCGGCGCGTATAAAATGTGAGTTAAACATAAGGTACAAGAGGTGACGATAACCCGAGCAAACCGTCTTTTTAGTAAACATTTAAACAATGAAGGTTCTTGTGAAATCAGAGGGTAATTAACTATGTCGAAAATGAATCAATTTTAAGATACGTAATACTTACATACATACGTAACTTGATAATGTGAAGAGAACATACGAATAGTTTCCTTCATAAGAATCATAGATGAAACATTTTCGTTCATTGCTTAATTTAAATAAATAAATGTTTAAAATCCAATTTAAAACCACTAAAAAGATTCTCTCCACACTTCGATAGAAATCCAGTTGATTTATTATTATGAGCATTTAATGATCCACCTTTTTAACCTTGCTGCGGTCGTATAGCTTGTAATTAACTTTAATATCTACGTTTAAGATGTAAACATGATATTGAATTAAATAAATTTCATGTCAGGGTCATCAGCGACTGTCTACAAATACTCGTATATCTGTAATCTCAATTACTACATACTACAGCTATTATTATATTACAGTCTTGTACTTCTTAAACAAAACAGTCGTCATTAGCATTACCTACATTTTTACTAATGTATTCATTATAAAGTCGAAAGAAGAGAACAATTTCCGGAGTATCCTAAAGGTACGAAGTGGCTCATTAATTTTACTTATGGCGTAGAACGCGGTCCCCGTTGTTTGTTGTTCGGTGGCCTTAATTGCTATCATATCAATATTCACCGTGTAATTGTTGTTGCAGACGCATGTTCCCGACGGTACGCGTGTCGTTCGCGGGATGTCGCGCGGAGGCACGGTACGCGGTGCTGCTGGACGTAGTGCCGGTGGACGGCAAGCGGTACCGCTACGCCTACCACCGCTCCTCGTGGCTGGTGGCCGGCAAGGCGGACCCGCCCGCTCCCGCGCGCCTCTACCCGCATCCCGACTCGCCCTTCGCCGGCGACCAGCTGCGCAAGCAGGTCGTCTCCTTCGAGAAAGTCAAACTCACCAACAACGAGATGGACAAGAATGGACAGGTCAGTTCATATAAAGTTTCTCTAGTTTTTATGAGGCTACAGTAGAACAAGACTCGCTATTATGTAATCTAGAGTTCTTAACATCTCAAAAATTAATTTAATGATTTTCCATTTAGTTGGTGTTAAATTCAATGCACAAGTATCAACCGCGTATCCACCTGGTGCTGCGGCGAGAGGGCGCCGTCAACGCCCCCATCGTCGACCTCGAGCAGGAGGAGTTCAAGACGTTCATCTTCCCCGAGTGCGTGTTCACCGCGGTCACCGCCTATCAGAACCAATTGGTAAGTGTCATCAAACATCTGTATCATAATAAACTTGTCGAACAATTTATTTGGCGCGTCTGCAGTCTTGTTTCGATCATTCGATATCTAAAATAGATCAGACAGCAAAATGCTAGAGATGGCATCGCCGTCGGACGACTATCGACGGTTTCTATTCCTATCACGCTAATTGCATCTCGCTGAAAGGTATGTCCAGTGGAACAAAGGGAGGTGGCACATCATTTTTTGTACACTGAACGGCCACACGCGCGTCCACCCGACGACGGACGGACGGCGCGCCTGACGCGTGCGCAATGGTGACGATTAAAGTTTTCAGCCGCGCTAAATATAAGTTCTCAGATGCGCTGCTAACATCGGCCGCCGCAAGCTCGCCACGCACTTCGCTAATGGCATTGCCTCGATGAAAGTTATCGGACCATCAAATGTTGCCAACTCTTCTCTTTAACTGTACAGTTAAATTCTGCAAATTATTGAAGTTTTCGGTCTTATCGACATTCTAAAAATGTTTTTGGAAATATTTGTGTTCTTATTCGAATTGCGTTTGTGTTTACAACATAATTCGTTGTCACGGGTTTCCATTTTTAATATCAAAATACTTAATAAACTCAATATCAGAATAAAATCAACATTTGGTGCTAATAATAAAGTTGGTTAGTAAAATCGCTAATCGCTTCGCTTGTCGCTAGTCGTTCCTCACAGCACGGCAGGCGGCGCGGCGGGCGGCGCTGCGCGCTGCCGCATGTGTCGCCACGAGCAATTAATTCTCTGTCACAAGAGCGTTTGGGCGTCTCCGAGCTCCTCGTTTTGTTTCGTCCCCGCCAGTAATTAGGACGTTTTGAGGTTCATAAAGGAAGCGTTACTTTATATCGACAACGCACTACATAAATCTTCATTCGTTCGTTAATTAGCTGTTTCGAGTTCTACAAACATGAGTAGCGCTTGTTTTTGTTTTAAATTAATTTATAATACGTCGGTGTAAATTGATCATATTTGGATTTTCACATACGATCACGGCACGATTTGAAGTACTATCATATAAACCATAGTAGCTAAATTTAATTGCTTTTGAGTTCGGTGGACAAAGGTTGTCTAAATTGCTCCCTCAGGATAGTATTTATTGATATCGATTGAATGTAATGCCTTCACAGATTTACTACCCCCAGTAGATGTGCCACTAGGCAACATGCAACAGTTGCCTGTTTTGCCACACAAAATAAAAAATAAATCTATTATTTTTTCATTGAATTGTAAAAAAATATTCTTTCGTCTATTGATTGTAAAGATTTCGAAATGTCTACGGCAACTACCTCAGAACGTAAAGAGCGTTATATCAGAAGTTCGATCGCGACAAGAGAGCGGTCGAAGCGGCGGTGCGGGCGGCGCGGGCGCAGTTCTCGCTCCGATTTGGCTGACGTCACCTCCTTGACAGCTAAAACATTTGTCGAACGCCGGAGATAGTGTCACTGATAACGCAATCCCTTACAACAATAAGAATACACTTAGCATGTTTGCACCTGCGCCCCGGACAAGATCGATACGTCTCGAGCCCGCACAATTTAAATTCCATACAAAAAAGGCAAACGCACTCGATCGTTCGGCCACAAACGTCAGAGGGGCTATTTTTACATAGATACCGATCTGATATGACCGATTAATCGTATATTTGAATTCTTAGGTTTCATAAAAAAGTGTCACCATGTTTTTCTGATCGTTCGATGTTTGTCATATCAATTTGGGATGAAACATCATTATTCGTTTTTACTACTTTGAACGTTGATATAGAAGATAAAATCGGGATAAAAAAATGTGTCGTGAATTGAGTTTTTTGTGTTCGTTCGCCGTGTGAGACGGAACGTCGCCGTGCCGCGCCGCGGGATGGTTTCCCTAGAAAACGCCACAGCCCGGCCCCGAGGTCCGACCTGCTTCAATATTTAACATTTTTACACCCACCACACTATTGTCGTGTTATACGTTTTGTGAACGCTCCTTTGTCTGAAATTCGAGTCGCTGTGAGGTGACAATGTTTGTTAGAGTTTACGCATTCTCAAAGCACACAATGCGTTTTTAAAAAGGCGATGACTTGTGAATTTGTTGTGATTGATTATTCCATAGAGGATATAAGGTTAAGAAACAAAGTCCTTACAATACAATAAAACATTGCTGATACAACTTTAAAACTTAGATAATTTTTATTACATAAGTTATTAAGTTTACTTCAATTTCAAGTTTAACTTGCCTCAAAAATTAAAACATGTGACTAGTATATAAGGAACATGAATTAATTTCAAGTTTATTACTCATAACATTCCAAATGTCATGTCACTTGAGAAGATAATCACAAAGTCTCATTCCTATAGCTCGTATGACAGAGTTCACGTAAACACCTTCAATAGATGCTTAATTGAAATTTATATCTCATTTCTCAGTATCAACAATCAATATTCTAAAATCTCCAATCCGTATCTATTCGTGTATTCATCGTCCACAAACGAGTTCTAGCTCCGACATAAACGAACAATATAATGAAGGAGTAAAGGCAAACACAATTTCAATAACAAAGGGCATCCATGACAAATAAACATATTTCACGGGCCAAAATGGCTGCGGTCAGGTGTCACGAGGTGGCCCCCTCCTCCTCCACGCCTCCCCCGCATCTGCCCCTGACGCACCTCTTTCTTCGATAATCGATTTAGTATTTGGTGAATGATGCTTTTTATTTGTGTCAACTTTGCTGCAGTTTTACTTTTTTTCTCAGCGTTGTTTTGGTTTCTTTTGGATGCAAATAGGGAAGGTGGATGCTCGAGAAATTAAAAATTTGTTAAATGAATTTTAATATATATGTTTTCCTCATCTGTTTAGATACTTGAAGTCTGATAACTGTTATAATTTATTCCTAACTATGTTCTTCACGTTCTTGCTTGCTTGCAATATGATTCAGTGTACAGTTAACAAATTTTAATGGTCACAATAAAAGCTAAAGAAGTCGCAGTGTCATTGCGAAGTATTCATTACTCAAAGAATAATATGGCGCGATAACACGAAACCCGCATAATTCAAAAATACAAGAAGTCAACGTACTTGCTTATGAGAGGATTTAAAATAATTTACCATCGTATTATTTATTTCTTCATCGTCTCGCTCACACGCGGCAGAGCGAGATCTGCTTTTATTCGCGATCTCTTTCACTTTGGCCATCGATCACACGAGGTGTGACGTCACGCAGGGCCGTCGTGTGCGGCCGGCCGGATTTATTGCGACCGCGCAGCGAGACAACCAGAAAAACTATGTTTGTATTCCTTAAAACCTGCAATAATTGAATTCATATTTGTACATTTGTAAATAATTGAATATATGGCCGCGGATATTTAAAAAAATTATGATCACTTTGGCATTAGTAACTCAATTTTTTTTTCTTGTCAACCAATAGTATAATCGTAAAAAAGCATTTTATAATCTACATTTTCGATTGCTTAATCTGTAGGAATTGTTCAAGTGACATTGACATTTGTTATGTTGATTTTTATCTGTGCATCGACATAATTGACGAGGGCATTGAAAGTCATAATAAAAAATGTGGAAAATTGCTTATTCATTGATATTTCGTGTGTTCAACTGCAACTATGGACACGAATGCAGAGTCGATCTTATACTAACAGTCGGTTCCATTATGGATCTATTATCCCGTTTGAACAGAGATTCCAATCAGAGAATATTGCCAAACTGAACAATGGACATGTTATTTCAAAAATGATTTAAGAATCCACCATGTGAAAAAAATTATGTGTTGACAAGTAAAAAAATTTATCAAAATGTTTATTTGTACTTTAATAATGAAAATAACAACATCGATTGCCGAAGACCTTTACAATCTCCGTACTATATATTTCATAATATCCATTGGTAGCGTCAGGGAAAGCTTGAACCTTTTAAACTTGCTAGATGAAGATGATGTACTATAATAACCTTTTAACCGCTGTTTGAACATTCTTGTCCCATCTAAAAATGTAAACCATTTAAGCACTACATTACTTACCTTGTACCAAAAGCAATAAAGTTTAAATTGTTTTGCTGTAACTGTTTATTCAATTTTAGTTTCTCTAGATGGTTAGTTGATGTTCGGTGCTCTACATCAATCAATAATAAGATACGTACTACTATTGAGCTCCGCGCTGTGACATTTATTTATTCTCTAGAATGTTCCCGTCGTGTTCCGTCCACTCTGATGTGATATACATAATCTTGTAACTGGAATGTTTATTTCCTTCACCTTGTCACAGATGAAACCTGGTTATGAGCTATAAATACTTTTTTCGTTCTTGAAATGTTTACATTAAGTTTCGTTTCTTATTTGACCTAAAAACATCTTTGTTCTATTTCGTACAAAGTTATTGTTTCTTATAATCTCATGTATGAATTTGTTTACCTCAGTAAATTAGATGTTTTCAATTTTAAAAGTGAATGAAGAATTATCTTTATTCCGGATCTGGCGACACGTGTGGTGTACACTTCCCTAAGCAATTTATCATGTCCCAATAATTAGAACGTCCTTTGCAGAAGTGTGCGCCGTCAGTGTACAAGTATCTCCTTGGCGCCTTTTTGTAAGTTTTTTTTTTTGTTTCTCGGTCGGGAATAATGTCATTATGGCGCCTTTAATGTTGTCAGTGCGAAGAGCGGGCCACCGCCGTCGCCGTCGCCCGAGGCGAGGCGAACGTTTGTTGATACTTAAATTAGGTTGTTTTGACACGCCTCACCCTTATGTTTGTACTAAATCTAATAAACGTCGGTAGCGAGAGAACATTCTATTCATTACTCGGGTGACGTTTCTGTAAAATATGCTGATGGATTAGAGACGTTAAGAATACCTATCGGAATTTAATCGTTTCGTTCGATACTAATGTTTTAGGATATTGTAAAAACAAATAGGAACGCCCTTCTGTGGTACATGGTATGCATAATGTATGGTCGATATTGTGAGGTGCCACTGGCATTTTAGGCGCACTCATTACATCCAGAGCTGGGTGTAAGCGGGCGCGGGCTCGGCACGGCTGGGCGGGCAGGCCCATTGTAGTCAATGCTTTCGCCAGGTGGGTGTGCAAGTAGAGTAGCTTCCCCGTTGACCCTCGACACTAACACTCGCCGTATCGAATCAGAAGCGACGCAATTCGTGTTTCTTTAATATCCTATCTTCCAACCGTTGTTGAGCCGTCGAATTACTTTTAACAATCAATTCAGTTTCTATTGTTATAAACGTATTATAAATTTAAAATTAATAAAACTAACATTTATGCTCAGATCAGAAGAATCGCTCGTAAATCTCAGAAAAACATTTAACTATCTGCGTTTAAAACGGAATCTGAAAATTTGTCACAGACGGTGTCAATATTTTCTAATTTTTATTGTTTTCTTTGATCCCAAACAATACGAACCGAGACGTTTATCAAGACTTTTCATAGATTAACGCGACTCAGTCATTGTACATCAAAAGAATGCATAAACATCTTTTACCGAAAAAAAATCTATTAGTTAATCTGAATAGAATAGGGAAGTTTTAAAATAGTTTTTAGAAGAATGCTCGTCGTGTTCACGGTATACATTTGGAGACTTCAATAAGTTTTCGTTTGGAATGCGTCCGTCGAGTTCGTCGCTCTGAAATGCTTGTAGTGCGAACTTGTCGAAATATCGCGCAATTAGGTGTCGCGTAGGTGAGCGTCGGGCGTAGCACAGATCAGCGGGGCTCTAGTCAATCGGCAGGTAATTACTGCCGCCGACTGCCGCGGCCGATGATAGATTGACACGTGTACGGATGCCGCTCGTTTCTACACCCGCCAAACATTGAATCATTATTCTATAGAATAAGGGCAATTACGACACTATGTGAAGTGTTTGTCTTCATCCATAATCATCTGAGGCTATGAGAGCAAGTTCATTTTGAAGTATTCAATCTTATTAGAAAGCGAGGAGTACAATTGACAATTCTTATATCTCATAGAATATTCCTAAGTTAAGTTAAGAAAATTCTTACACAGTTTCAAGTGATGTGAACGAAAGAAGATAAAGCCGTGTCAATGTATGAAATGAAATTTCTGCTGGTTTAATGATTAGGTTTTAGTACTTATAGTTTATGTTACTTAACAAATTAGCCGATGTTGCGTACGCTAGGCGATCACCGTTTTAATGACGACTGGTTTCTTGGAGATTTGTCGTAAATATTGGTTGCAAATTGTGCCTGGACGCAGCGGGGGTGCCACACGCAGCAAGGGGGCGATTTCTCATCCGTGTTTGCCTCCGCGCTGCCAAACACATTTTTTAACACCTCGGCCGCCGCTTAAATCAGGAATTGCAGTATTTTATGGGTGCATCGACTTAATTCATCTCGTTTACTTGAAAATACTCGCTTAGTACACTTGATGTTTCTCATGAAATCTTTTGTACGTAATTGTTATTTATTGAGTTGTTTATTCCACTGAAAAAGAGTAACTCTCCTTCTACTATAATCTAAAATAACTTACGTCTTTTGTTTCAGATAACAAAATTGAAGATTGACAGTAATCCGTTCGCCAAGGGGTTCAGGGACTCTTCACGTCTCACTGAATTCGAGAGGTAAATATCCACTACAGCTATACATTTATGTTTTTTTTTTTCAAGAAATATTCTAGAGGAAAAGAAAAAATGGCCAAAACAGTCACTTTAGAACATTGTACCAGTACTGTACAGAGGGTACAATTTTTATCTTATTAAATGTATCAAGTTTGCAAATGGAAATTAGTTCATTTTTCGTTTGATCAGGCATGTTGTAATAAACAAGCGCGTGCGACACTGATAGATGCCTCCTCTCGCTCGATTACGTCTCCATCCCGCACTCCGTCGGCCTTAGCAATCAAAGCGAGATAAAAGCTAGCTCAGATCGAAACTAACTCTATTTTCTACATTTATGATGTCTTTGATCGTTCGTCCGCATGCACATTTATAGTACGCACTTTGCGATAGTGCAAAAATTTATTCCATATTTAAGCATGATTTTTTATTTTGAATTTGTTTCTTTGTTGAGATTCTATATCACGGGCGAGCACGAACGAACATCGGTCTTCGATGACGCGCGCTACGGCGCCGCCAACCCTAGGTAGATATTTTATTTCGCTTCGCAAATACCTATGAGGTGTGTGTACGTCTCCACATATAATATTTTTCTTCGTTTCAGAGAGACGATGGAGTCGATGCTGGCTGAGCAGCATTATCTGCGGTCTCCGCTGCGACCGTTCGACCTGGACCAGCACAACAATAACTTGACGCTGGAGGAGAAAGCTATCCTGGCTGCTCGGTCGCAACTGTTTCTTCGTGCCGCGTATCCATTGTACGGCGTGCCGGCGGCGGCGCTGTGGGGACAATGGGCGTGCCTCGCCCCACAACTCCTGGCCCAACAGCACCTTGCCTCCGGCTCAGGGCTGCAGCTCCCTCGGCCTGTGTACCCGGGTGGCGTGCCGGCTGGCTTGGCGCAACACCGCTTCTCGCCATACCCGCCGCGGCGCGCCTCACCTGGCTCGTCACCGGACTCTTTGCGCGACGCCAGCCCTCACCCCCTGCCCCCTCACACGCCGCACGCCTCGCATACCCCTCACCCCCCGCACAGCCCCACTTAGTGATGGCCCACCGATTAAGCTTGAGGATCTCCATTAAATACGTTATAAATTACTGGTATTATTTATAAAAACTTTAGAAGCAAAGTGATACGTGAGTGTTATGTCGGATTGTTCGACGAAGATGAACGAATTTACGTGTTCTTGATATCGAATATTCGAGTGATAATAAAAACTGTTATAATTGTATAAAGACTTTGGCGGTTTAATAGTGCTGTGTTGCGATCTTTCATTTGTATTATAGTGTATAAATTATTTAAAACAAATTAGTGTATTAATGTAATAATGGTTATTGTAAGTTGTATCATTTTATGTTCCTAATATTTTTGCCTCGTTACTACGGGCGTTGCATCGGCAACAATTAGTAGCTGGATAGTGTTGTACAGCGATCTCTACATTGGTGAATTAGTTGGCACCATTTCGGCATACGCAAATCTGTTCGTTTGGATTGGTTAAATGATTTTTGATGAGGTATGTGCAATAAAAGAGACGAAAAAGTAATGTTATAGACAATTTGGCGTCTGTGTTAAGATGTATTAATAAATTGTAGAGAATATATTCCTTGTCTGTGTTTCCTGAGGTTTATAACACCTGGTTTAGATTAAATTTGATGCGGACACATAGATGTACCTACATGATTGTAGTTAAATTATAATTATTATAAATAATATATTGATAAAGTATAAAAAAAATTAAATGTTTGTTAAAATATAAAAGCATGTGTTTTATTATTCACCTCTCGTTTAAATTATAATAGGATGTTAAATATAATAATTAAAAAAAATAAAAGCATTTTCGCTGCAGAAACAATCATACAGAAATACTTTGTGAACATTCTTCTTGAAAAAAAAAACCGAAACAATATTTGCCTCTACGGAGGTTAAACAGTGTAAATTCACGGTTAGAGTTATAAGGAATTCATCTAAAAGCTACATTTTATCTTATCTGCATAAATAATCTAACTAATATTATAACGAAAGTTTAGATGGATGGATGGATAGATAGATGGATGTTTGTTAGCGTTTGTAGCCTAAACGGTTGAACGGATCTCCATGAAATTTGGCACAGGTTTAGAGCACAGTCTGGAAGAACACATAGGCTACTTTTTATCCCGAGAATAGTTACGGTTCCCGTGGGAATTATTAATTAAGTTTTTTAATGTTTACTCGATCATTCTGCAACGGTTCAACATATCTTATTTAAATTTGGCACAGATACAAAACAAAGTCTGGAGTACATATGGGATAAGCTTCATCCCCGAGAAATGTCCGGTTCCCGAGGGATACGTAGCTTTTTGTAATTTATGTAGTTTGTATGTTTTCTAATACCACGCGGACGAAGTCGCGGGCAACAGCTCGTTTACAATTAACGTTAATTGGGTTTCTATTTTTCTAGTTTTATACCTAATTGCAGATATAAACGTAATTACTTGACCTTTAAAGTATGCAACTGTAAAATCTTTTTCTTAACCGATCACGCAATCGAGGCAACATTTACTACAGTAGTATGAAAAAAGTAATAAATTGATGCAACGTTAAAATGTCTAATTTGTATGTAATTACGTGGAATAAATAACTACAAACTTAATAAACAACATGTATCTCTAAGTGTCGACATTTTACAGTTTTTATTAAGCTTTTTAAATCTTACATTGGTAACCCCACAAACCTGCACTTGGCCAGTGTGATTGACTATTGGCCTAGTCATCATAACTTAGGGTAGGCTCCGAGCCTTTCGGTGGGGACGTATAGTGAGCTGGTGATAATGAATGGTAACCTATTTCTACTTATTGTAGTGTTCGCTGAATTGGGTAATTTGAAAACGTGTTAATGCAGATAGACCATGCTAAATTACAAAGTGCAAAACGGTTTACATCTTGCATTAACTCGATTAAGATTTGACAACCAGGAAACTGCTAGCGGGGCTTCTTCACATAGAGAAGTTTGCCTACTGCCAAACCCATTTACTGCAAAACACACGGTACAGAATCATTATAAAATAGTTAAGACTATCAAGAACATTCTTATATGAGGTTAATTAATTAAAACTTGACTAATCAAAGTCCACACTACATTACGCTACTTCACATTAATATATCGGGCCGCGTGATGTTTGTTTTACGAGTGAAAATCAATGTGTTAGTTAACTAGTCGTGGCTGTCACAGCCGTCAATCTATCAATAGGATATGACAGTGCACGTTGGAGTATGGACGCGCTATTTTTATTACGAGACGCCGAGGTCAGGAGAGCCGGTTTCTGATCGTTTGGTGGACCGTCACTAGATGGCGTTACTTGTATTAATTTTGGTTTAAGTTACGGACATGGGTCACACAGCCTATGAGTAGCAACAATTTATTTACAATAATTTTGTTGAGGACATTTATGATTCTATAATAATCAGATTTTATTTCTAGTCTAGCTAAACAATTTCGCTTCATTGCATTGCTTCATACGTTTTTTTTATAAGCGAAAGGAACGGATGAGAAAATGGACCTCCGAGGTTAACATTGACGCCCATGGATTAATTCAGAATATGCAATTAACGAGAAGAAAAAAAATCTAGTATTCGATGTTATCACTGTAGTAACATTAACACACAAGGCGTAACAGATTGGCAAATAGTTAGAAATTAGTTTGACACGAGCGGCAATTATGCAAAGCGACTATAAAGTTATCTGCAAGAGAGCAAGCACCACCCTCTACAACTATTCAATTAAAATGAAAACAGTGGCGAGGCGAGGCGTCATTCGAGTCACATAGAAGGGTCCGGGGCATCGAATTAGTGCGACGCGTGGCCGCATTACCGGGACAAATTTCACGTCCCCAGGGCCCCAGGGTCGAGGGATGCAACGCTAATCTAATCTGGATTGTAGGTAATAAATGTTGGATAGAGTGACGCGGGTTGCAAAAATTTATTGCTTGTAAAACTGTTTCCAATCGCGGTGATTGTCCGGGCGCCCCGAGCGCGGCCCTGATTCAATTTGTCGTGTGACTTGTTACTTTTAGCTCTGCTTATTAATTACTTTAACGGTATGATTTGATATCTTTTTTACGATTATGTGGTGATAAAATATCCAATTGCAATTGCAGACACGATTTTTTTAACATAACGTGTGAAATATATATCTAGCAAAAAACTTAGTTACATATCTTTAAAATAAAAGATTAGTTAGGTCATATTTAAGACTGTTATATGTTCGTAATTTGTTTTCTTCTATAAAGGTCGATCAGAACCTATCACTAACGTAACTCATATAAGAAATCAATTTATTTTCTTAATACACAATTATCCTAGTAAATTGCGTGTATTGTGTAGGTAAAACAAAAGCTTGTGCTTGGATTATAGCGAGGGGTTCCTTGTTGCGTATCGCACGTAATGCCGTGTTATTGGCCACTCTCACTCCGCTCATAATCCCCTTTTAACTGCGGACTGCCGCGTGACGTGGACGGAATGCTGAGTTTGCTTGTCCGTTGACGTTCACACTTTTTAGCGGTGATAGGATACATACGAGATTATATAAATGTGAATACATTGATAAAACATATATTTGTAACGAAAAATTTGTTTAAATGCCCCTAAAGCAAGTCTTCGAAGTCTTAATCAGAAATACGAAGAACCTTTGTAGTTTCTCATAACATTGTAGTTTTTCTGCTGGATAATGCAAGGGCGGGAACAGTTATGTGTAAGACTATGTTATTCGAAGACCTGTGGCCTGTACCTGTGTGTATAATTAATAACATTATAATAATATACGAAGTAAGAAGGCATTAAAAACATAATAACAAGTTAAGGCTGCTTTTAGAATGATTTCTGAAAACGGTTTTTGTGAAGATGACATTATTTCCGCAGTTGTTAAAGCGGCGGGATGTTATTATGCCCCCTAACACCACACATCTCCACATTTCACGAATCGCAAACGTAACCGCTCAATAAATTCACGTTTATTACATACATATGTACGTACACCGGAGCTCACCTTGGCACTCTCTACCGGAACGAATCGACGCCACCGCCGTTTACGCGGAACGCGCCCAACGCGCCGTATGAAATATTAACGTTTACTTGCGCGTTATTACTAAACAATGCGCGGAATACATGCGAATGTCGCTAAGGTGGGCACATTACGGGGACGGAGCGCTAATGGCATCGGTCGGCTTTATTTATTGCCGGGATCGGGAGATATGGGACGATATTTTTTACAGCGCATCATAACTTATCATAATTGTTCATGTAGGTTTTATTCTACTCCATAAAAGCTATTTATTTTTCAAGGATAGATTTGGTCAATGGGATGACAGTTATGTGTTCGTTTTAACTAATATAGTTACATTAAAATTTGATAATTTACAAGTACCTAGTCGAGGGAAGTAGGTACCAGTCATATGCTACTTGGAGCTATTTTTAGATGAAACTGGCAGTCCAATAAACACGGTCGTTATTTGAGCTATAAATTCAAGCATCGCCAGCGCATATTGCAAGCCGATAAAGTTATTTGCGTTCAATAAGGCGAATGATCTGACTTTTCCCATTTTTCGTCTGCGAATGGCCTCCCTGCCTCACACTACTAGTGTACCTCGGACGCCCTCTGCGGTGCAAAGTTGAGGGCATTAGCGTGTTATCGGTGCCAGCAGAGTGAAGACGGCACCCACCTGAACTCCCACCAATGGACACTGTTATAAGAACTTAAAATCAACAATAACAAACATCACATACTACATTGCTCTTCTTATATCAGCAAGCACATGTTAACGCCTTATAGACGCAGCATTGTAAGGTAAATTAAATGTATATTGAAATTATCGTTGTACGGTAGGCGTAATAGATAGTATCTATAAGCGTTGAGATGTGGGAATAGGTGGGAAGCGCGAACGTGTTTTGCAAACCTGCCGAGAAAATAAGGTGTCCCCAATTTGCCTTTGTCGCCCGACGCTGATAGCAAATAATGTGCTATAGTTACGTATTCAGTTTCACGCTTGTATTTTGAAGTTCCATTTGAGTTTTTCAAATTCCTACTAAAATTTATGTAGTAGCTGATTTTCTCTATACCATTTTCTTCGATACATTAGGTTTTAAATTTGTTTTATTTGATAACTGACTCTTAGTTTTGATCAAATAGTTATATCTTTTTAACTATTAAGTCCTAATTACTTGTTCATAGTATGTATAATCAAATCAGCTTATCACAGAGGGCACCAGGGCGGTGGCGGTTCCCTCAGGAATGTCAGGAGTGCGCGTCGTTCACAGGTTATTGATACAAATAGCCGGCCCTCCCGCGAGCCTCCCGCGGCCCTCCCGCGACACACCCCCGCCTCGATAACACCAATAAAACCTGATTGATATTGTGTAAGTGCTTTCGGAAAATGTGGGAACTCGATTGATGTTACAGCCAAATTCGATTGGAGGAAAATTGAAAAGAATCATCTATGACAAACGATAATCAACTCTACGTCGTTGATCGTAAAGTATATAATGGTTGAAGGTACCACAAACGTAATACCATTTGGGAATTAAGATTGTAGTATTGATAGTAGCCGGAGGCGTGAATAGTGTTGTCTAATGGCGGGATACGCGTGCCTCTTTGACGTGTTTGTCGAACTTCGTTACATCGAAAAGACTACCT